GTGAATAGCTGTAGTTGTAGTCAAGGAAATGGATTTTATTGGTTATTCAAAAGATCATTAAAGTTCACAGAAGGAACTTCTATCTCTTATAACTTTTAGCTTGTCATCTAGATGCAAGATGTACAAACAAATATTAGATATATTGAGCGTTTCTTATAGGCCGTGATGGAAATTGGGTAAATATTCAAATCTTCAGATCATTTCAGTACAAATATTAAGTTAACTTAAGTAAAAAAAGTACAAATTTCCCAAAACAATAATATATTATATGGGAAAGTAATTTAAACGCCTGCTCTTATATTTTTCATATCCCAGTGTCCAACAGCTTGAGCTTTTCTGTGCCCCAGTATATATGCATGTGCGTATGTTTCTCTCTGTGTAAGCTGTAATTGTAAATCTTCTAGTCACTTTGTGTTCTAGACCTTTGGTTACTTCTATATGGATTTTCCGAACATTAAATTAAAATGTATTTATTTGTTAGATGTTTCATTATATATATTGCGAATTAGTTAGGGTGGTGTTGTAGGTTTGCAGTGCTGTCTGGGACAGTCTGGCATGGCTGTCGCCTGTGCCCTGGGGTGGGCGGCACTGATGCTATCAGCGTCTTTCGTGTGTCAGCCTGCCCATCGCCACACCCATCACACACTCCAGATATGGCCTGACACTTCCCTCTGCTGAGCCAGCCACAAACACAACACACAACCCCCTCCTAAAATAATCATAGTCACTTAGTGCTGAAGTACACATGAAATCAAAAATTACTTTCTTATTACACATTCTTTTTGTCCATAATTTATTGGTGCATGCTATTCAAATACTACTACTAATAATAATAATGTGTTTATGATTGACTATAATTTCATTTGTGACCTTGGTCCACAAAACCAGTCTCAATTTTTTTTAAATTGAGATTTATACATCAGCTGAAAGTTGAATAAATAAGCTTTACATTGATGTATGGTTTGTTAGGATACAGTAGGACAATATTTGGCTGAGATACAACTATTTGAATATCTGGAATCTGAGGGTGCAAAAAAATCTAAATATTGAGAAAATCGCCTGTAAAGTTGTCCAAATGAAGTTCTTAGCAATGCATATTACTAATCAAAAATGAACTGATATATTTATGATAGGAAATTTAACAAATATCTTCATGGAACATGATCTTTACTTAATACCCTAATGATTTTTTTGGCATAAAAGAAAAAACAATAATTTTGACCCATACAATGTATTGTTGGCTATTGCAACCAATATACCCGTGCGACTTATGACTGGTTTTGTGCTCCAGGGTCACATATAATAAATAAATAGATGATGATAGATAGATAGATAGATAGATAGATAGATAGATAGAGATATTTTTGTATACACTTCATATATTACATAGACTGCCTTCAAAAACAAAATAATTCTAAATTCTGCTGATTTTGAGCCAGTTGCTAATTTATGGTAGGTCTTAATCACAAAATCTTTGCAAAAGGGAAATTTAAAGTACTGGCATATGGAACCTGCATCTACAGTATATGTATGAGTTGTGATTGTGATGTGTGATTTACTGCATTTGAATGGCTGGTATACAGACTTTTGTCTTCCGAACATGGACAAAGTTCAGAAATTCTTGACAGCTTCTCAAGTCATTTGTTGTTTAGTATCATCACTGATGTATTTGTGGCTCTTCAGGGCCGCCCCTCAGACTGCTAAATATGCGCTACATTCTATGGTACTCTCATCAGTCACAAAACAACTCAGGACGCCATTAACCGACCGCACTGCCTGCAAGCGAGCCGTCGATGTGCACGCAGCATAAATCTGCTGTTTTTGACACGGAAGTTCTAAAATATTAATTTTGTTAGGATGATCCAGGTTGTTCTCAGGGGGGATGGGAGTTAATTCATGTGCTTGCAGTTGTTACCAAGCAGAATCAGTGGTACAAATGCCATCTTGTTTCCACATATGAGGCGGATGTTGGCCCAATCGGAAATGAAAAAGTTATTGGTGCTGCATTCAAATCTGAGCTATTATCTGCCCCAATTTGTAGTTACTCAGAGAGCGGTAAACATCTGCTTAAGTAATGTTTGCTTTTAAAGCATCTATAACTTTAATAGAAGCTTCACGAGAGTGTCATAAAGTTGCCACAGAATTGCAACTGATTAAACCGCACTCTTTTCTGTTGTATGCTGACAAAGCTTTCTTCAGTGAAACCTAAATCCCCTGTAGTGATGGGTTTGTGCACAGAAATATATTTCGATCTAATCAACTTGGTGGTGCAATACAAATGTGTAAAAGCGTTTTACTCCTAAATAAATGATAAGAAGATGACTCCAGTCATATCGGTGTTCTAGAAAAAGCTGTTTATTTCAATTCAGCAGCAGATATTTTTATACAGTAGTTGTTTGACAGCTGAGTATACACAGTTCTTTACAGACTGATTGAAAACTCACTGTCAACGATGTGTGTTTTGTCGACTGATTAAAATGAAGGTGAATAGCTGTAGTTGTAGTCAAGGAAATGGATTTTATTGGTTATTCAAAAGATCATTAAAGTTCACAGAAGGAACTTCTATCTCTTATAACTTTTAGCTTGTCATCTAGATGCAAGATGTACAAACAAATATTAGATATATTGAGCGTTTCTTATAGGCCGTGATGGAAATTGGGTAAATATTCAAATCTTCAGATCATTTCAGTACAAATATTAAGTTAACTTAAGTAAAAAAAGTACAAATTTCCCAAAACAATAATATATTATATGGGAAAGTAATTTAAACGCCTGCTCTTATATTTTTCATATCCCAGTGTCCAACAGCTTGAGCTTTTCTGTGCCCCAGTATATATGCATGTGCGTATGTTTCTCTCTGTGTAAGCTGTAATTGTAAATCTTCTAGTCACTTTGTGTTCTAGACCTTTGGTTACTTCTATATGGATTTTCCGAACATTAAATTAAAATGTATTTATTTGTTAGATGTTTCATTATATATATTGCGAATTAGTTAGGGTGGTGTTGTAGGTTTGCAGTGCTGTCTGGGACAGTCTGGCATGGCTGTTGCCTGTGCCCTGGGGTGGGCGGCACTGATGCTATCAGCGTCTTTCGTGTGTCAGCCTGCCCATCGCCACACCCATCACACACTCCAGATATGGCCTGACACTTCCCTCTGCTGAGCCAGCCACAAACACAACACACAACCCCCTCCTAAAATAATCATAGTCACTTAGTGCTGAAGTACACATGAAATCAAAAATTACTTTCTTATTACACATTCTTTTTGTCCATAATTTATTGGTGCATGCTATTCAAATACTACTACTAATAATAATAATGTGTTTATGATTGACTATAATTTCATTTGTGACCTTGGTCCACAAAACCAGTCTCAATTTTTTTTAAATTGAGATTTATACATCAGCTGAAAGTTGAATAAATAAGCTTTACATTGATGTATGGTTTGTTAGGATACAGTAGGACAATATTTGGCTGAGATACAACTATTTGAATATCTGGAATCTGAGGGTGCAAAAAAATCTAAATATTGAGAAAATCGCCTGTAAAGTTGTCCAAATGAAGTTCTTAGCAATGCATATTACTAATCAAAAATGAACTGATATATTTATGATAGGAAATTTAACAAATATCTTCATGGAACATGATCTTTACTTAATACCCTAATGATTTTTTTGGCATAAAAGAAAAAACAATAATTTTGACCCATACAATGTATTGTTGGCTATTGCAACCAATATACCCGTGCGACTTATGACTGGTTTTGTGCTCCAGGGTCACATATAATAAATAAATAGATGATGATAGATAGATAGATAGATAGATAGATAGATAGATAGAGATATTTTTGTATACACTTCATATATTACATAGACTGCCTTCAAAAACAAAATAATTCTAAATTCTGCTGATTTTGAGCCAGTTGCTAATTTATGGTAGGTCTTAATCACAAAATCTTTGCAAAAGGGAAATTTAAAGTACTGGCATATGGAACCTGCATCTACAGTATATGTATGAGTTGTGATTGTGATGTGTGATTTACTGCATTTGAATGGCTGGTATACAGACTTTTGTCTTCCGAACATGGACAAAGTTCAGAAATTCTTGACAGCTTCTCAAGTCATTTGTTGTTTAGTATCATCACTGATGTATTTGTGGCTCTTCAGGGCCGCCCCTCAGACTGCTAAATATGCGCTACATTCTATTGTACTCTCATCAGTCACAAAACAACTCAGGACGCCATTAACCGACCGCACTGCCTGCAAGCGAGCCGTCGATGTGCACGCAGCATAAATCTGCTGTTTTTGACACGGAAGTTCTAAAATATTAATTTTGTTAGGATGATCCAGGTTGTTCTCAGGGGGGATGGGAGTTAATTCATGTGCTTGCAGTTGTTACCAAGCAGAATCAGTGGTACATTTAATTAGACAGCAATCTGGATGGCAGTCTGCGCCCTGCTGTTCTTCTGCGTTTAATAACGTGTGAAGCCATGGGCGGAGGTTAGCGAATATATCCCACTATAGATTCCTAGATTAACCAAAGGAAGAAAGAATTAGCACCTAGTCCAGGTGTGAGGGATACAATCATGAGAGAAATGCACTGACTGCCTGTGGTGAAGGTGACAATACTCCCTTCTTTACACTCTTTAGCTGTGTTCCAAAACCTAGGGAGCAGTTTTAGGCACCATTAGGCAGGTAAAAAGTAACATGCTGCCTTTAAAGATCATTTTGGCTAAAACATAAGGCAGCATGTATGTATTCTTCATAGGTAAGGCAACACCAGAATGTATCAAAATTAAAAAGTCAAAATTAAAAATTCAGTTTTTTCCCCCCTGAATTGTGTTGTTAGCTTAGCAGCATGCTAATGTCAGGTTCTATTGAAATCAATTGTGAGTGGATTTTTGTGTGAACTTCACTTGAGGAGCCCCATTTTTGTTGTGTGCATATAAAGTATTCAGAGTAATTTTTTTAAATTTAGGATTCTGCATAGAAGATGCCCACCTCTATAATGGCTCCATCAGGTTGTCTCAGGAAGTGTCTGTAATGATGGCGCAGGCCGCTCAAGTGCAGTGTGTAGATGGATAAATGGGTGCTGGTCTCACATCCGGTATTGGGCGTGCCCGAAGGTGGTGCCAATCCTACCACAGGCTCCTCCTCCGTCCAGATGTAGTCATACACTGCCACCTATTGAGACACATACACCCCCCCACATATACACACCTTGTTAGAGACAACTCAAGTATTTAAACAGTATTGCAATACTAAGTACTAAAACAATTTGCTACGTGAGTCACTGTTAATGAAAACTCACACGTGAAAACTTGCGCACATGCTCTACAGAAAGTGCATACGAATGATTTGGGCCAAAAACAACACTGGACCCCACAAACTTTCACTGTAGAGCATTTTTCAAAATATCTTCTTTTGCCTTCCTTTGAAGAAAGAAAATGATTCTAATTATTCTAATGCCATGAGAGTAAGTAAATGTTTAGTTCCGCATTTTTTTTAATTATTCAGATTTTTTTCTGCACACTAACTACACACAGGTGGATTCCAAAACGTTTTCATTTCAGTAGTTTTCTGAAAGACAATTTGAATAAAAAAATCAAAAAGTGTAAGGGTGCCATTATTTTTGCCATGTCTGTAAATCAATGCAGAAACCAGAAAATGCCGAAAACTGTTTTATTTATTAATTTAAATGAAACTACTTCTAAAAAATATTTTTTAAACTGCTTTGCATCAAAAATTATCAAAAATTTGGTTTTGTAATTCAATAAATTTTACTGGTATGCTAACGCAAATAAATTAAAATAGACACTATGACCACGCGTTCACGTAGCAGCATGTGTTTGTGTGTGTGTGTTCAGATCAAGGGTGTATCTGAGTGCAACTGCATGCTTGCACGAATGCTTACCCTAACACAATTACCTGCCCTACCTGCGGCCACAGTTCAGCGCTCACTGAGATGAATGCAAACCCAGATAGTTGACAGTAATGGTCTGTAATTTACAGCTGTGCTTGTGAGGTGATGAGCTCTGGCTGAGAGACGCAGGAATGCAGCGTGTCAGGTTTCTGCATGACTCACGCAGCCTCTGACCCTGACACGACACTAACACACACCAGCCTACAATAACCTGCTTCAGCCTAATCCTTAAACGACGGAAAGGAAAAACAAAGAAACTAGTGGCCCGTATCACTCATTAATACTAGTGTTAAGGGCTATGCTTGGAATAGCATGCTATTTGTTCTATTTTTGCACGGTATGTAAATTTTCTTTATGCATGGACTACTCAGAAGACCTACTACTTTACTACAGTCTGCTCAACTTGACCTTGCATTTACAGCTGTATGAATGAAACCAGAAATGGTTATCAACCTCAACATGCATTCTGCTCACTTTTTCCATGCTTCAGGTCTTATTGTGTACAAAAGAAGATGACATGATTTAAAATTATCAAAATGTGTTCATGACTTTTCTTCTTTATGTATTTTATATATGCATAATATTGTTTATCGTTGCATACAACATTCTGTTTCACATACTGTACTATTTTTTAACAAATTGCAGTCAGTGGACAATGTATATTACACACTATGCAGGAAACAGTATGCTAGTGTTTCATTCAGAACATAGGCAGAGCTTTGAACATCAAAGGCTCATGGGAGATTACAACAGAGACAAATATAGCAATTAATTACTCATTTCTGTTACTAAAAGCATCAGTATGTGTGTTTTAAATAGTGTGCAGGTGTTTCTGAGTGTGAGTAAAAACAATAGAGAATATGACTATGAAACAGATGAAGGAGTAAACAAACTTGCCACAAAGCGTCTTTCTGTCAGGGTTCACAGTTCTGAGGTAATACTATGCTCTCTCCTTCAGTCTCAGTATTAATCATCATCATGCTTTTGGGGCGAGCAGGAAGGTGATGTAATGTGATGTATGTGTGCTCAAAATAAAACAAGAAAAAAAAAAAAAAAAAAAAAAAAAAAAAAAAAAGGGAAAATACAAGATAAAAAAAAAAAAACACATGTTGTGATTAAATCATATCTTAAGTGTCTCAGCAGGTCTGATGTCATGAGGGATGGCTCTGATCCAAGTATACGGGTCCCTTGTGTGTGTTGTACCTGTAATGCACTGCCCTGCTCTATTAGAGGAACACAGGAGACAAGCAGAGCGTGTAACATGCTATATAGGTCATGGATCTCAGATGCATTGGTGTGTGAAGATCACAGCGCCTCTCACCCAACTGGGCCAGCTTCACACCAGTGTCAGCACTGCTATACACACCCCCTCTGACCTCAAACACACACACACACACATGCACACTATACATATACTCATCATTTCTCAAACATATGTGTGAATGCGCTGTCACAGCATGTTATGTGCAAAGACTCACCATTTATTTTAGGTCTGAATGTATTACCATGGTGTTGTGGACATGTACATTGGAGTATCATGAAAATACTGTGGTACATGAATATCATTTAGAACTATATAATATATCAAAGAGCCACAATACTACCTTCTAATGCTATCAAAAAAAAGGCGAGAGAGTCTTGAATAACCCTGAAATGAATTATTTACATGTAATTTTATATATTGTATATGCACATGTAAGATGTGTCTATGTGAGGAAAAATAAAGTGATATGGTAGGGATGAAATATTTTTTGTTGACCATGTCAACTAGATGAGCACCAGATACAGATCCCCTCCAAAGACCTCATCACCTGACGGCCATCGGGGCAAGACCACAGAAACCAGATGAGTCCTCTGCACAATCTGACTTTGTTGCAACCTAGAATTAAACTGCTGGTTTCGTCTGGCCAGAGGAAAACGGCACACTATTTCGACACACTATTTCCCTGTGTAATACTGTAAAGCTGCTTTGACACAATCTGCATTGAAAAAACACTATATAAATAATGGTGACTTGACTTTCATATGGGTATTTTGGCATGGGTTTTTGTATTTCTATTTGAATGGGTTTGTGGTTAAATGCCTGAAATAAGGTCTGTGGTTAACACAAGCTCAAGATATGTTCACATATTATTCTATGATATATCATAGAATCAGTATTACCCCCTTGTGATTTTTTAAGCTTTTACTTGTCTTGAAAAATGCAGTTGCTAACAAGTGGCTAAATGAGACTATACAGAGGCTGCTGGGGACATTAAACATAATCATGTCTTTTCCCGCTTTTATAGCCTCACTGTTTATAATTGCACTTTTGCAAACTATTCTACACTATTTAGCTCTTTCTTCTGGTGATTGTATTTAGGCTTCAAAATTCATAAAAGTTGTGTTCATTTGCGAAGATTATCATGATGAATAAAACGTGTAGGAATCATAAGCTTTTCTTGGCCATGTGATCTTATTTCCTGCAATAATCCAAAATGGAAAAATCCTATTGGGTTTTTTTGTCAAGGAAACCAAGGTGCAGCACTCTACAGTGGACTTTTTTGGCTAATAAAGAACAATGAAAACTCAGTCCAGCAGGTCTGGATGACCAACAAGATGAATGCAGAGAAGAAAACAGGACCTCATCCTCTGAGACTGGAAACACTTTGAGGGGCGTTTGGAAGAAGTCAGCAGGCTCAGACAGGCCTGAATTCAGATTACCACATGACTCACTTTCTCTCTGTTTCCCTTTTTCCCCTCTTTTAGCAGGAAGTTTTTCAGGCAACAGCCGAGTTTATAAACTCAAGGTGACCCCTTAATTGGCTCTGTAATTACGACTCCTCTGGAAAAACATAGGTCTTGTCAGGCAGGGTCAGAGCGAAGGAGAACTTTAATTTCACTGTGTACCCACGTCTTGATTTTCCAACTACTTAAGACTGTTGGCTAAACACAGGTCGTGCTGGTAGGTCGGAAATTGAGAGTCATTACTGCACGTAATTAGACACTTCTTAAATACAGAGTGCCTGGAGAGAAGGTCCACACTGAGCATTGTCACAGGACACATCAAACGTCATCGGAACGACATGAGCGAGCAAATTGCAAACACTCAAAGTCTGTTCTCTTAACGATTCATGTGTGGTCTGGACAGATACTGAAGACTCTGTTGTTTAGCGCTTCGTATGCCGTGCCGTTTCAAGTGTCTCCGCGGCTCTTTGTCGCTTTAGCAACATCTCATCTTGGTTGTTCACACTCAGTGTGGTTAATCTGCATGTGTAATTCCACTGTCAGAAATCACAAAGTCTGTATTCTGAGCGTTTCACGCATTGCATCATGGTTATTCTTTTGAACCTTTTCTTAAACGTGAGAATACTTGGCGGACGCTTCTCTCCAGCACCGTCTTCGCGCTGGCGGTAAGTGCTTGACTCAGACTCAATGCCTGGCTGTTCTCAGGGAAACCATCTGTGGGTTAAGCAGATAGCATTCAAGTGAGCTAACCTAATTCTAACCAATCAAGCTTCGATTTATTGTGGACGTCTGTATTCAGAAATCTGATAGAGTCCATATCAGTCTCTTTATTTGAATCTGGAGAGACAGCCATTGCTTCTTTGAGGACTATAAACATCAAACCATGTCTCCCAGCCACAACATAAATTCAGATTTTGCAGGCGTTACGGCAAACGGACAGACAGACGGGGGTCCAGGAAGTGAAAATACGGACTGGTGCTCCATTCCACTCCAAATGAGCCTGTGCCTGTGCCCAAGCAAATGAGATTACACATCTCCATATTTGTAAAAATGGATATCTGAAATTTGATAAGTGCATTATTTAAGTGCGGGTGCCTCCTCACGACAACCCTAATATGCTGGCCAGCATGTACGAAAGCTGCTGTTTAATGGAATAATAACTGCAGTGCCAAGTCAGAGTCAGATGAGAGCAGCTTTTTAAATACTGACATAAAAGGGCCAAATTTATTCAGCGATTTCAAACGGACCCAAATGTTCTTGTGTAAAACAAAATGCAACTGCTAATTATACTGTAAAAAGTACATATCTAAAGGGTGAATAAAACGTCTAAGAATAAAATAAAAGGCAACAAATAAAACCCACAGGTTATAAACATGTAAGCATGCAAAGGGAATGCTCTATGTTGCAGTCTTCCACATCTTTCTTTAATTTTTTGAGCAATTGGGCATTTTAAGAAATTATTGCATTTTATTTTATTTTTTTCATTTCTGCAGACCTGATAAATGCCCAAATTTGCATCAGCACACTCTTGAGT